AGGCGACGGTGTCTTCAACTGTAGCTCAGCTCATCAACGACGCCGTAAAAGAAAACCGGCGTAAACAACAGCTGTGAAGAGGTGAGAAACGGGAAGTACTTTTTGAGGAAGAGGTACTGACTCCGCCCGCTAGCGTATTGGCGTAGGAACTTCGCAGTCGATTGTTACCGTTAAGTCAGCTGAAAGCTTCGCTTCGCCCTTGACGACCCATCTACATCGGTGCTCTGGCCGCCGCGGTGACCGCCAATGAACCGTGTGACATCGACAAAAGTCACTGAATACGTTTTCCTCAATGAACTCAAAATGCCACGTGGCGGCGGCGATCGACGGAACCGAATCGATGTCCATTTCCTTGTATGCTCCGCTGATTGTTCCTCGTCCGGTAATAAATGCTAACGAGATATTGGCATCGTGTCTAGTCGATCCGTGATTGTGTTACACGTGGCTGCTGACGCACGCTCGCCATAGAAGGGAGTTCGAAACTTCGAACGACGTCATTCGTCGTAAGTTTTACACTCAGACGCAAAGTAGAGAGGATTACATGGACAGGTAAGCTTGAAAGACGTTAAATCAGTGTAAGCAGGCGAATATGACGAACAAGCTTGACTTTGGCATTTTGCAGAACCGATGAATCCTTGTCTTCTCCCAAAATCGATGATGTATTCAGCAATTTCTGAGGTCGACATTTTGACTGACGAGGCCCATATGCCGCTGACACATGTGCACGACATCCACTAACAAAACAAAAATGAATATTGGGTTGTGCTTTGCTGTGCAACGAGGGAATCAACTCGAAATGCGCTTTAGAAAACAGACAAGTTTGAAAGCATGTGTCCTTTGTATTTATAGAGGAAGATGTCTCGTAAGTGTTACAGTCAGCAGGTCATGAAAACAAATAGGATTAGAACGGCTAGGATAATGTGCTGACGTAGAGAGAAACATGAATTCGAAGCTGCGTGAAAAAGAGAAGACGAAACATATGAAGGCAAAAGGGGGCACAAGGGGAAGAACTAGAAAACGGGAGCAACAAAGAAGAAGAAGAAGCAGAAAGCGGAAAATGAGAAGAAGACGACGACTGAAATCACGATGAAAAAAACGCAAAATAGAAGAGGATGAGAAGGAGGAAGAAAAAAGGCAAAAAATGAGGATAGGAAGAAATGGGAGTAATGAAAAAGGACACAATGAGGAAAACGATGCAGAATTAGGAGCAGGAATCGAGATGAAGACGTCAAAGGAACAAGAGCATAAAGAGAAATAAAAAAGGTAGGAGCTGAGAAATTAAAAAAACTAGAGGAAGAAAATAAAGAATAACAAAAGTAAAAGAAAAGAAAAATGAAGTATAAACAATCAACGGAGCGAAAGAAGCATAGTGAAGATAACAAGACAAGGAGAGAAGTAGTATAGTGAGGAAAGGTAGCAAAAAAAGATGTCGTGAAAGAAAGAGAATGCTATGACAAGGAGTGTAGAAAGTTGACCAAAAAGAATTAGAAGAAATAGATGATGGAGATGGAGAAGGAAACGTAACAGAGTAAAACTGAGTTTTTGAATCAGTGATCAAGACTAATAATAACGAACCTATTAAAGGCTAATCTTGTGATGATTATCAGTGTCATATACCGTACCGAGATTTACGAAACTGCGCTACCGAAGGAAACTACATATGACTCCAAGATGACGAAGCAGGAATTTGCAGATTTGACACTATGAGGCAACTTTTAACCTTCCACATTTGTAGACGTGTTAGTCGTGTTTGACTCGTGTCGATGCCATGAGGAATACCATGGTACTCAGCTAGACCTGAAGTTCTCCTTTGCATAGAAATTATAAACAGCATATTACGCTACCCCGCTTTTTCGAATTATTTTGATCATGCATGTGTAAAGCAGGAAAAATTTGGACAGTCGCTCAAAGATGCACCATCTGGAGGTTCAGATCAAGATATTAGATATCGTTGCGGCATGTGAAACTGTCTAGAAAAGTTCCTGCAGTCAAAGGCGTCATTGCCGTAATAAGAGATTAGGAAAATACATTCCTTATCTCCTCTCCCACTTTAGTCTTATGCTGTCGCTTAATGAGCAAAAGCCTGGTGAATGCGTGAGTGAAGTGGAATGAAATAAATTTAATTTTTTCTTTGCGCTGAAGTCGACGATGCTTCAGAGCCGGTCTTCCTTGCACATTTTTCGGACATATATCCAAAATATGGATTATTATACAGGCAGATCTCAATAGCTCATAATGCATGGAGCCTTGGTCTGCTTCATTGCTTTCTTAGACAGTCAAAATCAAACCAGTGCACAATATATCGCGACGTCTAGTTCTAGAGCAAACGAGCGCTTATGTATGAGAAACGGTTATGAATATGGTTATGAGATATGAGATTTGGTCTGTTGTCCTTGGGCGTTCTCATTTGGTCACTGTTCCGTTGTTCGTGGCGGTGAGCGGCTGCGTGTTGATTTCGCGGTGCACGCGCCGGTTATCACGCATGTGCGATGAACGGTTCACAACCACAGGGTGGTTCATAGTGATCTACTAAAAAATCTAACCTGAGGAAGCCTAACATCTGCAATATCAGCCTGAGGTACCATTTCTAAAGGTCAGTCGTCAAAAATCTGAGTTACTCTGCTGGCCTTTGATAACGATGATACAACAGTAATAATTTTCTCATATTTACCCTGCACTTTCACCAAAGCCGTCCTATGAAATTTGGAATATTCAATGTCAGCGTACATGCCAACGGTTTTCCCGCATAACTGTTCAAATGAAATGGCTGACAGAAGAGCAGATTTGGTACGCCAAAACTAACTAGCACTAATGAAGACCGTAAAGCCGAACTTAAGTCAAGCTACTAAAGTAAACAAAACGTTTTCTGCCCTGCAACCGCAATCACCGACTACAGATTTTCATTTCCCACAGGAAAGATGTTGATTTTAGTGCGAGGGTATTTCATTTACGTTCACACGATTTTAGTGGCGACGAAAATCCAATCGCCCGTCATTATGCCGGTTTGGGCAAATTTTCGATCGATTGGATTCAATTGGAAGAAATTTGATCTCTTTCGTATACTGCAGCAAAGGTGATTTTAATTCAATAGTATTTGGCGAAACGTGGAGCCTAAGCCTATAAGCAATTTATAGGCCGCAGAGTACACAACACAGTATCGGAAAATGTGTTTGTAATAGCAAAACACAGAAACCTGAATGATTTGGTTAAAGCACAAACTAAGGCATCGATGTTACTGTAAGGGGAAAAATGCTGAAGTGATAATGGGCACAATACGCTGCAAAAATGACCAGCTGGGTTCCAAGAGAATAAACGGTCAGAACGAAAATCTTTAGGCTGATGGCGGGATGAGCTGAAGAAGTTCGTTGGATAAAGGTGGATGGATAAAAATCACAGGAAGCAGAAGCCCATGACAAAGCCTTGGAACAGCTCATGTTCAGCAACCGATCGAAGAAAGATGATGATGATGGCTATTAGCTGACTAGCGATCATCCCTAAATTTTAAATCTCCAACGACAGTTTCTAATAAATTTTATGTATATTTTAAACTGTCTCTTTGTAGCGAGCGAATTATTATAGAGTGTATACTCCTAGCTGCTATGGTAGTCATGGAAGCCTAACATAAACTTATGAGACGTAGACTAACGCACCAGTAATAACTGGAGTTAGTATGGCTCATTCAGCATTCAAGGCGGCCTACAGGAGGGAAAAATATTCCGCTTAAAAACACCATGTGGAAAGGTTCAGGTTATAGTCTCCATTAATCCCTAAAGAAAACGTCAGAAACGTTCACATAGTGCCTTCTATCTTCTGACACCAGACACTTGATACATAAAATAGAAAATCAAGCAGATCTTGCATCCTTCAGTGACGATAACCATAGAAATCCGTGGCCCTAAGCAATACGTACTGTATTTACAATATGCTTCACGGGATGTGACACACATACACTAAGCCATAAATATCGAGTTAGCTTTCAACCAAGGAAAAGCTTTTTATCAGCGTTGGTTCGACTCAACGAGATAGGTGATAAGCGTCCACTTGCGGTCCTGTTTAAGCTATTGGTGCCAGTCGCTAGCCGCCTCAAAAAACAAATCTTATCAGGCGCCCGCACCAGTCAGGTTCTTCTTGTACGTCGTTATCACCTTTCTGCGTGTTGCTGATGATTCATCCGTTGAGCGGATTGGGCGGAAAATTTGAAATACCGTATCATAGCTGTTCGAACTCCGCCGCTTCCGGTCCCAACCCCGGATGAAAAAAGAGCAGGATTTCGGACCCTGGCGAAATCTCTAGTAAAACTCAGCCATCTGTTCTCATGAAATTGATGCCATCAAGCGTTAAATCGTCTCGGTTGGCTCACTGGTTACCAAAAGCTTCACAGGCTGCTTGGAAACTGACGAAAACTACGACAACGTGGCTATCAGGACCTACTTTACACTTTCCCGCAGTTTGGGACGTAGCAAAGGACGACTGCCAAAGATAACAAGGGTATCTGTCAGCAACGGGGCCGCTTTCTGTTCTGAACGTGTCAGAACAACAACAGTAGGAACTCATAGGCAGATATTGAAGCATGAACGCTTTCAGGGAGAAAGAGTAAGTCTGCTGACGTGGCTGCAAAGTACAACCCTAAAACCGTTTGGCTCTTGTCAATGAACTCTCAGGGTTCTGGAATTCTGAGGCTCTGCGAGTGAAAACTATTTTATTCATATGTCAACATGCAAATATTGCCAAACAGTCATGGAAGTATTTCAGCAAAAAAAATGGTATTCCTCAAATTTAGACTACAGGAGGCCAGAGCTTTTACCCTGTTACAGGTTGATGAGCGAGTTAGAATGCACCGAGCAAGCTTCGATTGCGTGTCTTGTTTTGAGTCATGCGGACGGAAACGGAATTAAACTCTCTTTGCGCTCAAACAGAGGTGTTCAGTCACCTCAGGCTGCCTCGCGCAGTCTGAGTTCGACGGAAGCGACAGACACTTAATGGTGACTCCAGGTCTACTTACCTCAATTCTTACGCGACATGTTTTGTCACTGCCTCGAAATTTGCTGAAAAAGAGAAACACTATCTGCCGTAGCAATAAAATTGATTGATTGATTATTTAAAAGCCAGATTCGACTTCAGGTATGCGGCACAGCAAAGTGGAGAGTTTCCTGTTTCCTTCTTACAGAGCAGTAATCATTTACCAGCCTTAGAATGCAGAAAGACGAGTGGCCCTGACAGAAGTACAAACTTGGGATCTCTCCATTCTCAGCCAGACCCAGCCCGACCGACTGAGCAATTCCTCTGTGAAGAAGCTTGTGGCAAATTGATTGATCAAAGAAATTTGAGGTTAAGGCAAAGATTGTCCT